GTCCTACAGACTCATTCTGGGTCCTTTTGGGTCCTACAGACTCATTCGGGGTCCTAAAGACTCATTCTGGGTCCTAAAGACTCATTCTGGGTCCTACAGACTCATTCTGGGTCCTTCAGACCCCCCCCCCGTTAACCCCGTTAAAACCGAACCAGGCCCCTGACCAGCATGCACCGGAGTGTTTTTTTCCCAACTTTTCCGACCAGGGAAAGTCTCTTTCCGAAGGCCCCCCCCCCCGGGGGGGAGGGGGGGGGGGGGGGGGTAGGAGGGTCTGTGTCCAGACAAAGGGCCTCTCTTCCTGGAGCTTTTTTCAGGGACACAGCGGCCTGTTGTGTCCGGGATGAGCTCACTGGGTTGTGTTGTTTGTGTTGTTTGTGTTGTGATGAAAAAACGGCTTTTATCCTTTTTCTGCCTTTTTTTCTAAAACTACGACCCCAAAGAAGCGAAGAAAGAGGCAGAAAATGCTGATTCCAACGATAAAAAACAGGGATTCTTACACCGAACTGGATTTTATTTAACTGCCTTATAATATAATTAACTGATTTCCAACCATTTCAAATTATTTCTGTAATATTTAAGCAAAAAAAAGGCAAAAAACAAAACAAATTTCCAATAATTTAAACCTATTTCTGTAATATATAAGAACAACAGAGCTCTGAATTGGATTTTATTTACCCGCCTTATAATATAATTAACTGATTTCCAACCATTTCAAATTATTTCTGTAATATTTAAGAACAGCAGAGCTTTATATTGGATTTTATTAACCGTTTTTTGTCCTTTCAGGTCTGTTTGGCTGCTTATAAAACAAAAAAATAAATAAAATTGACAAATTTCCAATAATTTCAACTAATTTCTGTAATATTTAAGAACAACACAGCTCTGAATTGGATTTTATTTAACCGTTTCCTGTCCTTTCAGGTCTGTTTGGCTGCTTATAAAGCAAAAAAAAAGATAATAAACAAATTTCCAACTATTTTGACTTACTTCTGTAATATTTAAGAAAAAAAGAGCTGGTTTACTGACAATAACACCCACATTTTGTGGTTAACGAGCAGAAAGTGGGAATTCTTCTCACCCTGGAAATCCACCGACTGGAAAAAGTCAAAGTTCGTCTGTTTTTTTAAATATTTTCCAGGAAAAAAACACATTTTGACGCC